TTAGGTCTGCCGATTAGAAGCGGGATTTCAGATTGATATTAGGCAACGTTCGCTACGGCAGCATATTATATTCCTCTTTTTGAGCAGGAACAGAACTCCCCACGTTTTATCTTGTACTGCGCAAGCAGTATTTGCTAAATGATGGTCAACGATTCGTAGGTTTCCGGTGGCTAAACCGTTGCTACCGTACTACAGCCATGTTAACCTCTAAGTTTAAAAGAGATCAAGAGAATGCGGCCCAACAGAGCAAAAAACCAGTTTTGGCTGAGTGATACAAGAAATGACCAGAACTGCTGAAAAACTTGCTCGTCGACTACTTAAATTTGTTTGCGCACAAAATTCGTGAAATTCGAGCGAAGTATACCGTCGTCTCCGTGATTTAAACGGCTGAAAATCAGTTTCTTCCGTTGCTTATAGTTATTAGTCTACTACGTGACTATTTCCATGAAATTGTTATGTTCCTCAAAAAAACAGTTCATACATAATTGCTTACCTCCTTCTCTACGTTTGAACGGCATCCGGGCTTAATGGAAATTTGATCAGTAGACTGGTTAACGCCTAAATCAGACCGGAATAAGAAAAGACATTTATAAGAAGGCGATCAAACAACTGGCATATAGAACAGCGCTCTGAATGACTCACTTAATAATTGCATCAACTTTGTCTAAGTGCGGTACAAATTCTGCAGCATTTGACAGTTGTGTGTGCAGTGTTTGGCCACGGTCATAATTATTTTCCGTGAGCTACATTTATGCATAAGATGAACTGTTACATGACTTAACGTTGCAGTAGTAACTTCATAGCTAATTTAAGTTATTTTCTATTCTTAATTTTCTCCACTTTTGACAGTTAGTTTCTTTATATGTATTTCTTCATTATGTTCATTCTTCTGGATACGCAACGTTGTTGTTCGTTTAAACAGGTACATCTCAGTTCAGCAGCAGGTTGTCACTGACAGTCACTTATTGCTTTCATCGAATGACTTTCTTGCTTAGAGAACTGAACGATTGGAGACTATATGGATAATATTTCTCCAGCCATCCTATTTTATACATCTGCCTTATTTGCATTGGACTTAACCCACAATTACACGTCTGCCATAAATTTTCTTGTCCACTTGTCTTTATTTGGCGATCAAGGTATGATGCGGTTCGAGGCATTTTTTTTTCAATGTGCAAACATTGTATTTTAGTTTTAATGAAGCTGTCTAGTGCATTTTCTTTCCAAGGTGCAGATGCATTCCTCACGGTTTAAGGTAAGCAAGCGGTTTACGGTGGACGTACTGTCGCATTACCTTCGTTCTTGAATTCAATAATATCTGCTCTCGTTATAGTGTTTATCGCACAGGCACGTTCCGAAGTTCTACAATAATATGTTTACTTTTTGCTGTATTTCGCAAACAGTATAACGAGGCTGAAACTCGAAGGGGATGGCAGGTAGAACAGTGACGTTTACAAGTCGTTTTTGATGCGAAAGAGCATTGTTACACGGAACGCAACAGAGTACTAATGAGAAGCAGGAGCGCACAAGACATACAAATCTGAGGCCGGCATATCGAGTGAGTAGACATCATTCAAATGCATAAGACTCACCCAGGTGCAGCAATGATCGAACGCCTGAATAATAGAGTGTGTTAATAAGCAGTCGATATTTCATCTGGGAAGGAAGCTAGAGTGGTACTAAGCAGCTGCGGATTCTGTCGCCGTGGCACCATGTCACGAGCTGAACGATGCTGTCACTACTACTTACCCGGGTCCATAAACTGATCAATCGCCTCTCCTCCTACGCTAACAGAATTATCCGTGACCATTCACAAACTGCCTAGCCACCAGTCCTAACCCCGACATCATACCGAAAGCAATGATGAAATGTGTAATCATGCGACAGTAATGAAGTTCATGATCTGTTCGTGAAAGTAGCCAATACTGGCCATGTACCGCGCTGATGGATGGATGCAACCAGTACTTATATGTCAAACGATAACGGTTTAATAACTGAATTCCTGAACTACCGGCAGGGTTTTCCCGCATAACTTGAATGTTCGATTGAAGTGTTAACGTGCTTGAATCGTATTAGGTATCAGCACTTCCGCTTCGCTGCTGGAACCACCATGAGGGAATCTTGGCGTTAAGGGTATACTTCGCGATGCACTACGAATTCAGCTGACCGTTGTTCGTGGTCCCTGTAGATATGAGGTCGGTATTTGACTCCATGGACCGATAGTCGTTTTCACCCATGCACGCATTCGGATCAGCTCAGTTCTCTCAGGACAGTTTTACACATCGTCAGATGTGAGGTAGTGGTGTATGATTTCTGTATGATTATTTCTGCGTTTTCTCGTTGAGCCATCGACTAAATCCATCTTTGAGCAAATTCCGCAGCATTTGAGTATTTGTGCTGGCACCTCAACTTTCACAAATCCGGACTGCTTAAACGACATCTCGCTTCTAGTTCTTTTTCAGAGTTTCTCTAGTTTAAACAGTGCCTTGAATAAGTTTGATCGGATTATCTTTAGGCTGAAGTGATGGCCAGAGTTGAAAGTATGAAACAATTTCACTCTCTTAGGAACTCACGATAACATTTAATTGCCCAGAACGTCGCCGACCTGAGTTACTTCATCGTCTCTGTCTGGCCGTTTCCGCCATGAGCGCTATGCGGCACATGTTATCATCCAGTGCCCTGTCGCGGCGCAAGAAAATTCGCCTCTACAAGTCTTGTATTTTGGCGGTACCACTGTGTGGAACCGGGACCTACGCGCTAAGAAAGTAGATACGACTAATCTTTAGACTGTTCAAATGATGGAACCCGGAGGCAGCTTCTCAACAAAGTTCGTTCGAAATGCAAATTTAGCCGAACCTGCTTGACTACCCTTATCACCGACATCATCAGTCTCAATCAGACTTAATCAGAACTATCCTGCTACGATGAGGTTGGCAGCAGGGTTCCTGCTCACAGGATATTACAAGCGGCTGCCAACGTCGGCAATGGAGTTGTGCCGTCGCCATCCCACTGGCGACCCAGAGGCAAACCACGGCATATTCAGATACGGGTGAGATGCCTTGTTTGAGTATACCATCTAACATGAAATAGTTCATCGTCCACGTCGTCACATTTCACAATTTGTTCGTACAAAGGGTCTACTGCCGACCACCCATTTCTGATTATGATGATTCAGAAAATGCGTACCCTTGCTTTCTAAAACCAGCTTCTATTAAACGTTGAACTTTAACCGGTTATCTCCATAACTTCTGCAAAAATCTGTCACAAGCAAAATGGTTCTATAATGACTAACTTTAACTATGACGCTACTTGTTCTGACATTCAAAATTCGTCGACGATGGGGCTCTATCTCTGCCAAAGTAATCATATATCTTTAAGGCCGAATTTGCGCCAGTGCGCAAACCATTCTTCATTCATCCGTTTTGTACTTTATTGATTAGTAATTAATCGTCGTGACAGAAACAACTGGCTGGCAGATGGTTTCAATGGTTCCAGATGCTTCTTGCTGCATGCCGCATGGCAGTCAAGGTCATTGGCTGGGCCAAAAAATCCTATGAGATTTGTAATTAAGCGCTTGTAACGCACATACTGAACGGCAGCGTCTTTCTGTTGTCGTTACTACGACCAATAACTGAGGAAAAACAGTTCTTAATTTCCTCTGCGGATTTTCATTAGCCTTGGCCGTTAATTGACGCCCAAGTGGATGACCAAGTTGTCTGGAATTACTTGTATGCAGGCGCACATACCTTTCTAATGATTTTGTGTTGAGCTGAAACCGTATGATCAGAGTGAAGGAGGATAGATTACGGTCTCTAGCTGCTCAAAATATATGTATGAATTGCACATTAAGTAAGCTCTGGAGTCGCTGTAAAAGAAAGGATATCTTTTTGTTCAACTTATAGAGGAGCATCTGCTTTCAGCTGTTGAATGCAAGGCATGTCGACTATAACTTTTTGCTCAAAAGGGTTAGCGGCGGAAACTTTTGCGTCTTAATGAAGTTCGAGCCGGAGAAATTTACATACGGCAAAAACTTTGTTCTTCAAAACAGTTAACGGTAAAAGAGAATCAAATTCTTTGATTCGCAGAAGTTATCATGCAAAAACATTCCAGAATTTTACATCGACTTCATAGGTTTCTTTAATGTTCCTCGATGGCGATTATACGTACAAATAATTTTGACAGGCTCTAAGTATCGATATCTTAATTCGTTTCTTCTTTCTCTTTTACTCTCGGATTACTTGCCTCCCTTTTTTCAAAGGTTGAAATGTCAGTACCATCCTGTGGGAAGGAAACAGGAGAATTTGCGCTACACTTGCCACGTAGTGATGTAATCTGCCCTGAAAATGAGGCACGCATAACATGACTAGAAACAGCTATAAAAGTCGCACCATAAACTTCATGAAAGGACGGGCGTCGCAAATGCCCTCCCCCCAGTCATGAAAGCGTATGGTTATAATATTCTGGCCACAGACTTCCCTTTCTGTTCTTTCTCTTCTTCTTTTTCCATCTCTAAATCTTTTTTCTTCTTGCTGTAAGCTCTTTAGCAAGGGTACACTGAGTGAATAAAGTTTTTGCACATTCGTTGATCCTTGCGAAGTTACCATTGTTTTTATGACATCGCAATAACTTCGTTGGCCTTCCCTTCTGCGATTACCTTATGACATCCACGTCTGGATCACGTTGTCTACGTATTCATCACATTCTCACATTAATAGTCGAAATCTAAGACACGTAAAAAAATACCTAAAGAATACAGGCTGAGGTGTCTAAATTTCAGCGGGCATTTTATACGTTGCTCTTCGATTCTGGGCCATAATCGACCAATTGAACATTTTCCTGATCTATTCTTAGGACGTCAAAATATCAAACAGCGATGGTAAGGCTTCACTGAAGTACTATTCAATCAAGTTAAATCTACTTCAAAGTACTGTCTTTGCTTTAGACTTAGTTGTCCACCCACGTATCAAGGAAATCTTCAGTTGCTATTAAAATCTGTTCTGTCACGTCGAAACTCTGCCGCTGCCGGTCCCAAGCTCGAATGAGAATGGGGGATGGGTGCGGACAATGACGAGGTCTTCCTTATAACTAAGCTGCCTGTCCCTTATTGCGTTGCCGTCAACGATCGTTATATGAGTTCGGTCGTTGCCCGGTTTGCCACGGACCGTGCAGGCTACTGGGAAGCTAAGACAGATCACGAAAAACCAACGATCAGAACCTGTTTTTTATGTTCTAGCACCTGTGGGCGCAGCAGCATGGCAGCGGCAGCCGAAGTTTGACAAGAAGACGACGAGGATACTGGTCAGCAGTCGAGGAGGCAGACAGTACAATGCCACTACGGTACGTCAGTTAAGGCTCCACAAGAACCATGCCGCCACTGAGAGTTAACAGTCGGAAATTGGAGTATATCCTCACTCAGAACTCCGAGAGAGTGATAGCTGGAGCTACATGACGAGGTCGCAAGGTACCGACTGGAGCGAGTTGGACTCTTGTCAACGAATCGCTAAAGCTCTAGAATTCTGAACCTCTGCGGGTGAAAACTATTCTACTGAGATGTCTAGATCGCGACATGCTCTCAGGCCGCTGTTAGTATTCCGACAGAACCCAACCTGGCTGAGAGAATCACTGAATGGAAGCCTGTCAGCAGAAAAGCGACAATCATCCAGCTGAAACTACAACAAGCTAAAGTTCTGACCTTGTTACGGGCCCTATGTGCCCTATTGAATGGAGAATATGGGTTCTTCCCGGACGAATAGGCGTTCTAAACGGGCTAGCGTCCACGAAATCCATTATTCTTATAGGCGGCTTCAATACATATGTCAAATCAGATATCGAAAGTGGAAGGGACTGATAGGAAAGAACGGCCCTAAAGACCATAATAATTCTGGCTAGAGGTTGTTGTGCTTTGTGCAAACAACGGACTGTCTGTGATGTAAGCTTCTTCGGGCATCGAAGCTCGCGTCAGTATACCTGGTAGGGTGAATCTTAAGACCAGAAACAGATAATTATTCTGGTAACGTCTGATTTTCGACACTCTGTAATGAAGGTTCACGTTAATACAGGGCAGAGCAGTCAACAGACCATCGCCTTGTTGTTGGAACGCTGTAAACGATGGATGGCGATGAGAAGACCTGGCGACAAAAGCAACCAGAGATGCAAATAGGATGCACTATCTTCTGCGGAGACGAGTGTAAAACTTACAAGCAAAACCGCATTACGGTTTCAACAGATCTCAGTGATGACCGCTGATGTGGAAACCAATTATAAACGTTTTACGAGCGTTTTATCGGGGTTTCCGCCAAATGCTGCGGATATTAAACGGGTTGGCCTGTACTCTGGAGATCAGAAACAAACTTCCTGGTAAACGCCCGGAATACAGTTGGCTGTCACCGAGAAGAAGGCTGCATTCGAAGGATCATTTGGAAGCAAAGAGCTTTCAATTCGAACGCAGTACGAAGATGCACGCAAGATGACAACGAAAGCAGTGACCAAGGCGAAAGTCGATTCCTGAGAAAAGTTCGCGCTTTGAGAGGGGCCAAATTTTCAGACGGTAAACAGAGAATGTCTCACCTACGAGATGGTAAGAAGAAATAGTCTAATAGTCCTGAAGGACAAGCTCGGACACCTTTATACCGAGGAAGAAAATTGACTTCGGCAATGGCGAGAGTTCTCTGAGAAGTTTCTTAACCCTGAGCAACCGTTTGAAGACTCGCCCGATGAGCAGCAGGCAGTGGGTATTATTTTTCGGTTGACCAAATCAGAAAAGCCGTAGAAACTTTAGAAAGGGATGAGGCTGTTTCGATCGATGAAATCCGCCCAGAGATGCTTACAGCTGTAGAAGAACAAGGAATGTTGTGGCTTACACATGTCTGTTTAACTGCAATAGCTAGATAGAAGATACCATTGGACCGGAGAACGCGGGTTATAGTAACCCTGTTCAAAAATGGAGACCATAGTAAGTGCTCTAACTATCAATGCATTACCTAATTTAGCCTTCCGGGCAAAGTCTATGGAAAGGTGTTAAAAAGGAGGTGCTGCGTGATATTGATTGACATGCAAAAAAAGCAGTGTGGCTTCAGATCAGTCCGAAGCACGACTGGCCCGATTCGCCTTGCGAAAGATTAATCACAATTCGTGGTGTTCGCTCATTCGGTTTGCATGTGCTTTTTGATCCGGGAGAAAGTCTGTGATCAGACACCCCGTAACAAACAAGTGGCGTGCCTGCAAACATACGGAATAGATGGCCAGCTGCTAATT